ACGTCCGAGGAAAGCATGGCTGAAATTAAAGGGGTCGCTACAGACCTATTGTCCGCGGCAGGAAACGTGGTAGCTGGCCAAAGAAGTACATTGCGGAAACAGGAGGCGGATGTGTAAACGCGCAACTGTAGCATGCGAATGAATTTCACCCAATCTAAAGTTATGACTCATCCGACGGGACTCGACCACACTTTGTAAGTAAACGGGACCAAGATTCCCACCTGCTGTTTAAGCGCCAATTTTTTTGGGCCGCAAACCAACGACCTCAATGATCTCCCCTCTCTCCATATCCAGTTCTTAGGCTCTGTTCGGGCAAAGTTATTTTAAGAAAGGATAGCGTGCTGGAGGGCATTGTTTCAGGTAACAGTATCTGGTAAGTCTCACGTCAATACCAAATCGCGGCTATGAATAACTCGCATGGGAGGGACCAGACGATCATCGCACCAACAGAGGCCATCGGCGACGAATCGAGGAGTTATTTATTTTGACAGTTGCGTGCTCGCGGGAAGTCGCAATCAATATACACCCTGTGTTCGAGAAAGGGTTTAGAACCTATAGACGAGGATGCACGAACACGAACTAGCTGTGAAGTATCCGAGCTCGCGGATAACTAACATCAATACACACTGCATTCTCCAGTGTTCCCTATCTCTGGCTGATGTATCTGATAGTGGGCTCGAGTCTGAATCCGAAACGCCAGACGAAACAATTTATTGTTCTACAGAGCTAGCCTTCTTATTATTATCATGTACCCTAAAGAATGCGCCCTTGTAATCACTCCTTTGTTGCTGGATGCACTACTTTTTTGTAGATGGCGCTGATTAGCGAGGACAGGCGCCGGTTCTACCCTAGCCTTGGTGGTCTGGCCGCTCTTCACTTCGCCGTTCTACTGCCGGGTCGAGCCGGCGTGCAGATCACCGAAATGCTGCTGGATGCTCTAGCTGACCCCAACACTCGCGCAGAGCCAGATCTCAGTTTTCTGACCGAATCACAGTGCAAAATCCGGCGACAGCTTGAAAAGGTGCGTAACGTACGGCAAATACTTACTCATTTTGCTGTTTGGGCAGGTAAGGGAGAAATATTCTCGCTGGAACAGGGGTTTTATTCCACATATAGTTAAGCCCACCAAAACCAAAACGATACTCTCTATCTGCTGTCGTCTCGGATGGTAATTTCGATAATTAGTCAAGGATAGCAGCGACAGTGGCTTCTTTCAACCGCTTCCTA